GCGCCTGGGTAAAGGGGCAGGTATCTCTAGGGATGCACACTTGGGGAAGGGTTGCTCCATGGGGAGAATATGTCCCCGGGGGACACTGACTGGCTGCATGACCATGGTCAAGTCTCTTGTCTCAGTGCTGCTTCCCATCTGTGACACGGGGGTTAATGAGGAGGGCTTGTAGAGTGGTAGAGAAGTGCAAAGAGGTCTTCTCTGCACACGTGTGTGCTCATGCATGACCCAGCACAGTGCTTGGAGAGCTTTCTGTGCATGCATGTGACTATCGTGTGCAAACTCGCCCTGTGACTGACTATCCGACCTCTCCACGAATCCCTCCCTCCTGCCTTAGCAGTGAGCAGCCCTCAGTGTCTTAGACCTTCACCTCCTTTATTTCATCCCAGCTATGTCATCTCTGGGTGCTGCCAAGTAGGAGACTCCAGGGTGGTGGGATAAGGGGAGGGTATTACCCTAGGGGTAAGACTAGCAATGCAGCCTCCTGGGGTGGGGGTTGCAGAAGCAGACAGGCATCAAGGCAGCTGAAAAATTGGCTGGAGACAGGAAGCTGCTCAGAGCTAACGAGGGCGGTTCTGCCACCCACGTCCTGAGCTGATGAAGGGGTCCCACAGATGCTTCCTTCCTTTATTTGCTGGAAGGTAAAAGTGTGAAAGGCAAAACCCCGGTGCTATCTCAGCCAGCCCCCTTTGATTCTGAACCACAGCACTGGGCTACTTTGATCTCAAGTCCTGGCTGAGCTGGCAGTGACCAAAGGTGGCTGCACTCTGGCAAGTGAGTTTTATTGACTTCACATCCGCCTCCAGTGGGCATGTGTCCACTTCACAGCCCCTTCCCCTCCCACCTGAAGTTGTCTCTTGAGACAGATGGGCTTCAATCACAAAGTTCGTATCCCAAGCTGAGCTACCCACTAGTGTCGGAGAGCCTTTGTATACGGTTTCAGTGCAGCCCTAGCATAGAGATAGCACATTATGTCCCATCATAGCAGTATACAGCTATTTAAAACTCTCTAAGTACATCTTTGGCCATGTTGGAGTGACGTTGTGGCTGAGACGGTCCAGCAAATGTGCAAGAGGCAAGGATTTTTGTGGATGATTATCTTTGTTGCCGTATGTACTTTTAGGCCATAGGAGGAGAGCCAGAGAGTCCTGGGGTCTGCTCCTGCCCCTGCTGCTGACTTGCTTAGTGACCTGCAGTGAATCACTAAACATCTTTATGCCTCGGCTCTCCCATGTCTCGGCAGAAAGAGTTGCTCCACACAACAGGCGTGGAGCCAAGTTCACCAGCGTCCGGATATGGGGCTCAAACTCGGTTCTTTAAAAAGATTGGTTTAATCCTGATCCTTTGGCTTGGGGATGGATTCTGACAACCCCAAAGTTTAGGGATGTTTGGGTTACGTATGTAGGCAGACGCACATCTCTGATCTTTTTCCTTCTTATTTTCAAAGCTCATAGCAAGCCCCCGTTGCTGCAAATGCCTTTTCCTCCCTCCCCTCCACCTTTCTCTGCTGCTATCAGATCATGAAAGCATGGGGCTTACACTCTCTGGACTCAGGACACGCTTCATCCAGGAGCTGGTAAGCCCCTGAAGCATGAGTAGAGTAGGAAAGCCCGTTACCTTTGTGTCTTCCCGGGGAGGGGTGGGGGATCTGCTTGCTCAGACTCTGCCATCTCCTTCTTTTCCAAAATGATCTGTGCTCTGCACTCTGCGCTGTGCATCTCGTGGGCCAGAGCTGCGGTTTCTATTCCATTCTCGCTCCGAGATGGCCACTGACTGGGGAATTATATGCCAGTTTTCCAGGGGAAGGGCCCGGCTGGTGTTAGACCTCGGGAGGGCTGTGCAGCTGTGGCAGAGCGCTGGGTGCTGGGAGAGCTCGCGCCCATCTGTCAGGCTGAGGCTGCTATGGGGAACTGGCTTTCACAACGCTTTGCATAACCACTTTGCTTACAGGAGGATGTTCTTTTGAACTAGGTTTCAAAACCTCTTACTGCATTAAAGGAAGCGAGGGGTAGAAGTCATCCTTGGCGTCACGCTCCTCGTTAATGGAGTTACTCCAGGCGTCACTCTGCCCCCATAGGTTTGTGGTAACATTTATGCTGCTTGCACCATATCAAATGATCAAAATGAAAAGTATTACAAACGTTCTGTACGTTGCTGCAATTCGTGAAGGGCATGGAGTGGTTGGTTTTCTGGTCTGGTTTTCATGCAGTCGCTATTCCCAGTGTAGCAGGTGCAGGGGTCAAGTTTTTGGTTTTGTTTTAAATTACTGTTATATTTTGGAAATATTTCCTGGGAGACCTTTAGGAGGCTGGAGATCCGGAGCAGAAGTCAAGGGGGCCTGGTGAGTCTTTAACACAGACGGTCCTTCTCGCACGTGTTTTCAAGCGTTTGAGTTAAAGTGGCATCAATAAAAGCGTATGACAAGAGCATTAGGGCAGGGGTGGGCAAAATGTGGCCTGCGGGCCAGATGCGGCCCACCAGGCCATTCTATCCGGCCCGCGGGGCCCCTAAACAACTTAGAAAATTAACATTAATCTGCCCTGGGCTGCCTGTCATGAGGCCCTCGATGGCATGCCAAAACTCAGTAAGCGGCCCTTTGCCCGAAATAATTGCCCGCCCCTGCATTAGGGGCTGTCTAAGCTAAGAGAGAGGGTGCGTTTGCTTTAAAGCCCTAGTACAAATGGGACAACTTTGTGTCTTAACAGATGTTCGCGGGTCCTACGTGTTATCTCCTTTTGTCATGCAGCGGGGAGTTGGCTTTGACTTGCCAATGGTGGGGTCTGAGAGTGACATGCTGCAGCGGCATTTAATAAGGAGCTGGATAATGCTGGCCGAAGAGGCGACCTTTGCAGAGAGGCCTCAGGCTCTAGGGCAAATACTGATTGCTTGCAGGGGTTTGGGCAAAGAGCTGGAAAAAAAGCTTCGGGCAAAAAAAGCCTCATATATTCCCGCTGGCTGATGCATTCATTTCCAGAAGAGGATCATGGGATCTGCCTCGCCAGATCAGACCAGGTGGTTTGTTTTTTTTTTTAACCCACTAGCCTATTTCTGGCAGGAGCTGGTAACAAGGAGCTCAAAATAGGTTCCTGAAACCCTGAAGATGGAGTTTGATGCAGACTACAGAGAGAGTTTCTTCCTGTCCCCTTAGTTAAGGTTGGCTGGCGCCCTGGAGCACATGGATAGATAGTCCTTCCAAACATAAAACATCCCATCTGTATAAATGACTATCTGTATTTTCCAGATCCCAGTTCAATACTTTTCTGCTAAACGCGTGGCCTCGGTGACAGCTTGTGGTAATTAGTTCCACAGGCTTCGCACACTATGTGAAAAACATCCTCTCTCTTTTGAGTTTAATTCAGCTTCCTCATTGACTTCTCTGGTTCTTGATCTGCGAGACCATAAATCCAACTCCCTTCTCAGTATTGCATTGTGAAGGCTTTCACCATATCCCCTTTTACTCGTTATCTCTCTCTACAGTCTCCAGTTCTCTCTCCATTCAGACTGCACTCCTTGTCCAGCCCGGGCCAGCTGACCGCATGTGTTAGGAGGAAGGTTTTCTGCTGGTTTTGGAAACAGCTGGCACTGGGTAGTGAAGGAGGCAGGACAGATTGATCCGTCTAGTTTAGACCTGGGGTTCCCAAAATATTGTACACATACCCCTGGGGGTATGCAAAACATCTCTGGGGGAAACTGTAATGGCAGAAATAATTTTCATTGTGATAACTGGCATCTAAGGGGTTAAAATATAAAACATGCTGGTAGGGGAACACGGGTAGCTGGTAAGTTTAGACATGGGTACACAATAAGGAAAAGTTTGGGAACCCCTGGTCTAGGCCCATCGATGCAGTCACTTGGGCGATACCCGCGAACCCTTCTGAACAGCGGATGGGTGCCGTGTAGCTCTGTGCCAGCTGCTCTCCATAACCAAATTGAATGATGAGGAAGGGCTTTCGGCTGGTGGCAGACAAGAAGGGCTTGGCACACGGACATTAGCAGCTCAGCCAAATTCTAATGCTAATGCCTCCAGCAAAATCAATGGAGTTGCAGGAGGGGCCCATTCATTTTGCACTGGAAGCCAGCATGTCCCAGTATGCATGCTTGCTTTAGCACGGGCTCCCTTGCTAATAGCCGAAATGAGCTACATCCTGCCCTGTAGTCCAAACAGCAGCTGTCTGGGCATCACCATCTTTCCTTCTTGCTCTAGTGATTAAGGCTAACACTCTAATAAAATATTACCATCCCAGATTATAATTCCCAATCATCCTGCATGCTGTGTTTTGGCTAGATTTCCACGATGGATGTAGCGAGGTGAGCAAAATGAATCGCTCTGTGTAAATAATGAGGGGAACAGCATTTACTGAGCTGCGGCTTATTTGTAAGCTGGCAACCGCACTAATGGGAGAGCTGTGCAATATTTGTCACGCGGCAGTGTCCCTGTGCCACTCGGCTCCCAGGAGGCTGTTGCCATGCCCCTGTCCTATGGGCGCCAGTGAGCCCCAGTGGTCATGAACACATTTGGGCTTTCACTATTTATAGAGCGCAGGGTTTCCAGGTGCAGACAGCCCAATCGGCATGAAATAACTAAATCCTGAACATTTTGCCCCAAGCACTCGCACCTTCTCTCCAGACTGTAACTCGGCCCTGAAAGCAAGGACACACACAGCCTCTGAAGTTTCAGTTTGAATCTCCCACTTCCTCCCGCAGCAATGCGCTAATGCAGAAATGTCCTGATAAGAGGATGGATTGTATTGCCT